TAAAAAAAAAAAGAGATGTTAATCTCCATAAAGTTGCTATCTGAACTGGACCCTTGCAATGTATGCACAACAATGCAAACACAACACTTTAAGCAGTTCACTGGTACAGACAAGATGCGAGCAAGCGAGAGGAACAAAAAGAGCGTCGGCACTACATATGCAAAAGATGTCCTATAAACACATTTGCAATGCAGATATTCAGACACTTGACTTTCGACGTCAGTTCCATTGTGGGATGCCTTTTGACGGCTTAAGCCTGATCATCTTTTCAGACTAGGCTGTGGAAAATCTTGAAAGGAAGTACTTGGAGCCGTTATGCAGCTTTCATGGAGCAAGAAAACCCAGTGTAGCCTGGGGCCAAGATGAGTCCTTCTTGGGTAATGACCTAAAACTGACAAGACAATGAAGAAATTAAAATAATAATAATAATATGTTGATGCTGTGTTTCCCAGGCTGCTACTCCACATACACTGACAGCAAGACAAAGGTGCCAGCGTGTGTGAACCAGCACTGACCTAGCTAACTGCAGCTCTGACCAAAGCATTACCACAAGTGGGCTTCTGTGTCCCGTGGTGTTTTCTGTTGATTCATGCAACTGCCAAGTGGAGCATGTGAAGAGAATAAAAGACTGGATCTAGAACTGAGCTCTGAGAGACCCCAAAGGTGACATGTCCTGAAAAAGAGAAAGCACTGTCTTCTGTACTAATGCAACAGAGCCCTTCTCTCAAAGCAGGGAAACTGCTGTCTTTCTCATATTAATAATCATACTCAGCAAGTGTCACATGCAAACATTAAATGAGTAATCACTTTTTTTAGGCTAGTTGTAGGATGATCATTGATATGTCATTAACTTTTAGTTGACATGGCACAGTTGTTAGCATACGGGTACTTATTCACATATAAAAATGTCCTCTTATTTTGTTTTATTTGTGTCCATATAGTGAACATTGATCCCAGGAAACTCTTCTAGCACTTTATTTGGTGTCTGCCAACACATGAGCCAAGTGTCTCCTTTATTGCTTAATGCTATGTTCACAAGCTAGTTACTGCCTGCCACTGGATTTGGAGCAGGCTGCGTACAGCGGGACAGATGTGTTCTGTGGCAGCTGGAATGTGGCATGTGTGAAAAGGTGGCTGTGAGTGCAGGTGTATCAAAAGGCCTGCGATATGTTGAGAAAAAAAATGCAAAGAACGAGTCCCATATGGAAATGCAGTATTTTACATGTGAGTTTGAAGATCATTGAAAAGTTATGGGCCTAGAGTTTTTGTTTGAAAGATACAGAGTTGTCAGCAGATCTGCACTTTATGAATGTTCACTTTTGCTCTGTGGTTAATAAACAAGAGTTTGCAGATGAGTCTTCCATGCAAACTAAAGACAACTGTAGCAAGCTGCTAGCAACCAAGGACACGGCAAGGAGGTATTTGGTGCAAAACCCTCTGTCACTCGGCAACCTTCAGCAACAACTCATCAATTGGCCAGGGAATGCACATTTTTCCCTAGCGATCGGTTGTTGACAGGGGGCACCTGAATGGTCTCAGTGAAACTGAGGGTATTAGCGATCGATATCACAATGTCTGCCTGCAATCTCCAGCAACTGGCAGGGGAATATTCCTGTAACAGTTGGTGGTTGCCAGGCTGTCGCCTCTGATCTCTAAGCCCGTGTGACTGGAGCCATGGATAACCAAGTCAGTATGTTAACAAAGAGCCTCAAGCTTTTCCAAGACGTTTAGAGAAGATTTATCAAGATTTTGATGTGAGAGTGTTCCTTCTTTACAACAGTTTGTCAGCATGTTCATGTACTGAAATGATGCCATCACTGTTTGCAATACAAAAGACACAGCTGTTGTATCAGCCTTACATGACAGTCACATAGCTCATAGAGTACATACTTATGGATATGCTTATTTAGATCGACATAGAAATAGCTCATGAAATGAACTGTGCTTAATCAGAAGCTACACTATCATTTCATCTGTCAAATAAGCAGTGTGTTCACACTGTAGCTCACATTATGTTGAAATAAATGTTGAAAGACTGCTGTTTGAACATCCAATCAATATGCTGAATATTTATATATTGCAGGGCAGCACGGTGGTTAGCACTGTTGCGGTACAGCAACAGCAAGAAGGTCCTGAATTCAATTCCTTTTTTTTTTTTTTGTTTTTTTGCCTGTCCCGTTTGGCTCTTTTGCCATCAGAATTGTTGTCTAAAGGCAAAGAAAGATGCCCAACGGATTTACTTTACCAAATTGACCATCCCAGCCTTGCCATAATGGTCCATTTGATTCACCTTTTATTGTTTATTTTATTTTCACTTACTGAATATGAGACAGACTTGACTGGGGGAAAGAAGGGGAGAAAGAAAGAGGGAAAGAGAAACAGCTGAGAAGAGGGACGGGGGAGAAGGGCAAAAACCAAAAACCAACAGAATGGGCAGAAAAAGAAAAAAAAGAAAAAAAGGAAAAAAAATGCATATATCAATCACCTGGATCACCTGCTGAGAAAGAAAAAAGAAAACAAGCAGAAGAGAACAAGAGTAATAGAATAAACAACATCCCAATGATATATGGGAATATGACAGTAAATACTAAATATTAAACATTATTGTGCAGCACATAAGATCAACAGAACACAGTGTGCTTTGAGGTAGGAGCCAAAAAGGGTGTAGTTTGTGGGTGTGATCACCTGTGTGTACACCTGTGAGCATGGACGCGTTTGTTTTTTGTTTTTTTAAAAGGTTCCTTCATGTAATGATCTGCTAGAGGGTGTGGGGGGGCCACAGCCCCGTCCTCCAGGGCATGAAGCAGGTATGGAGGAGATCAAAACTCCAGACATCCAGAGGCCCCCAGAACACAAGAGACCAAGGAAGACCAACAGAGGGGCAGCCGCGCCACTGTCCCAGAAAGAGCTGAGGAGAGTCCCAGATGAGGGCTCACTCAGCAGCCGCGGAGCAGAAACCAGGGGGAGTTGCAGTGACGCGCCCGTGAGCTCCGCCAGCAGCCAGCCGTGCCTGAGTGACCGAGCCCCAGGCCGAGAGGCCAGGGGCACCCCACCTCCGAAGTGGCCCGAGCAAGCCCCAGGCTCCAGGCCCCGATAAGCGGCCGCCAAGGAGTGAGCCGGTGTGTACCCGGACACCCACCCCCGGACACAAAGAACCACCAACGCACCGATGTCTGAGGGAGTCCGCCACTGGCAGGGGAAGTGGTGGTAGGGGGAGATAGGCCTCCAAACCTTGGAGGGCCTAAGATGTCCCCAGAGAGGTGGCGCCTGACACCCAACCTGACATATAGACACAGACATACAGGCACACACAGATACAAACATCCATTCCCACCCTCATGCTCTCATATACACTTACTCCACACTCAACCAACGTGGAGACCGACATAAAGAGACGCTGTACACACGATCACACTCCCCAAGCGTACTCTATAAACCGGGTCTTCAATTCCACCATCAGGCCGGGGTCTTTCTGTGTGGAGTTTGCAATTTCTCCCTGTGTTTGTGTGGATTCCCTTTGGGTACTCCGGCTCCCTCCCTTCGCATTTGACAATCAAAAGTAAGTAGCTGAAACAACCACAGTTGACTGCAGAGTTACTGAACAGGTAGCAACTGGTCTCCAAACAGTTGAGTCCCGACTCTGGTAACATTTGCAGATAACTGTTGTCTAATTTATAAATGTGGACAGATTTCCAACACATCTGAATCAATCTCAGACCCCATTCAACTGATAGAGAGATAGATTTATCCATCCTGAGACACCAAAGTTGCTTGAAAGAAAGCAAATGACTGCAAGTGGTTGAAGACCTGGTCTTTGAATCTAAAGTATTGAGATTGCAAGCTGACTGCACATGATCGCAATAACTTTGGATTGATTTGGGCCATTAGAAAGGTGTGTGTTGTCTCAGGGATTGCGTAGCATAAGAAAATAAAGAAGCCACCAACCACGTAGACTAATATCATTTCTGACTTGCATGGTGGTACCTCTTTTGTCGTCGGTTGGCTGGTCTCCTCCTCTATTTGTTCTTTTTTCTTTTCACTAATTAATTAATTTTCTGATTCTTCCAACAAATCTCTTCTTTTGTGTACTAATACTGACATTTAATTACTTCATCTCATTTAATTATATTTCATTTACTTATCTAATTATATACAGATATACACCCACTCATTTTATTTGTGTCTTTGTTACCCGGCACACTTAACCATGACAGCATGAATATTTATGTGTCTCTGTACTCTACAGTTGAGTTAGTTAACATAAAGAACATCTGTCATATACCATTAAGGAAGTAAAGCCGTTCACCTTTAACATCCTCTGTAACCGTCTTCACACAAGTTTATGACATCCTCAGGAGATCCTCATCGACTCGCGTTCGAGTCTGACAGTGTGAACACAAGCTGCTGTAGAGGAGCTACGCTTAGAGCCCCAGAACAGAGTGAAGCAGAGCTCCAGTGAGACCGTAACACTCAAAGTTTGGCAAAAACGCACTAATCTTGCTATGTCATGCAGGCTGTCAAGCCAGCTCTGTGCTCGGCCTCGGAAACAAACCCAGAGCTCAAGGCGGTCAATTAGAGCTGCATGATCAAATATGTCAAATGCTGTACAGGGTCTCATGACAACGCATAAAAATTCTCAGGCAATCGCTGCTTAAAGAGGGTCATCTGAGGCTTTTAACGGCTGTGTTTTACAGGGAGACCACTTTGACAAGGAACAGCACCATCCGAAAGTTGTCTGCTAGTATATAACATAAATATATGTACACAAAACAATTACTACTACTACTACTACTAATAATAATAATAATAAAAAATGCATGAATAGCTAAGACCAACAAATCCAACATCCTCTACAAGGACCTTGAAGCAAAGATGCTTACACAATCCAAATGCCACACTAAGCACCTCTGCCAAACAGTAACAGGTAAAGGGATGAAAGCCTTCTTAGGTTTGATGATTCTGATCCGAGTGAGGAGGAAGCTGAGGAAACTGATACTCACCATGTCTGTGTCTGAAACGGGTCCAAAACTCGTGACATAGATGTTTGTCCTCACTTCTGTTACGCTCTCTGAGGAAAAGAAACAACGAGGACCAGAACACATTACGGTCATTACTCAGTCTGTACACAAAAAAAAGCATTGCTGCAGCTCTGTCTTTGTTAAGCTGATTGTTTGTGTGCATGACAGTGAAGTTTGCTGGTTGGATTTTAACTAAGCTACCTTAGAAAAAGCCTTGGAGTATTAAACGGTTAGAGAAACACCTCAATTTGAAGGAAAAAAATAAAACAAATGCAGAAGACTTATGCATGCTCAGGGAGGAATTTGTGTCCTCCTGGACGGCTTAATACCTGGATTCAAACTGTCTTTATGGATCATTTCATCAAATCCGTGTTCTTGTAGCACAGGCTGCTGGTTTAAGAACATAATGCTACACCAATAATATAAGACATTTTCTAAAATACACACAGCACTGGCTATAACAGTCCTAAGGATTTGGCCCAGGAGTTGTTGTTTGTTTTTTTTCCTTCTTCCTTGACCTCAATTCGGAGGCAAAATGTTGCTGCGAGCAGCTTCACAGATGCTTCTGAAAGTTATCCATTCAGTAAAACTACCATTTGTTTGGCTCAAGCTCGTTTTTGACCACTGAAGCATAAAATTTGCTTTGGGCCACGCCCAAGTCTGTATCTTCAGAGATGAGATTCCCTTTTGACCCAAAATGATTTTAGTCAGCCTTAAAGGACTACTGGCTCAGGAATAATATGCAGCAGCTTAACATTAAGCATTTTTTTTAACTCAGATAATGTACACATGTTTTGCAGTTACACACACATACAAACACTGAGTCTGATTCTGTCATAACTCTATAAGACTTTCTACTGTGTCTATTCCTAAGGAAGATGTATTTCTTCAGTTTTAATGACATGCATCCTTGCATGTTATGTAACAATAAAAGCCCCATAATTGCTTTTCTGTCATAATGATTTATAGATGATTCCTGAATTTGCAACACCGATCACACTGATCATTATACGGCATGCTAGTGCAGACCTTTAATTGTGATATGAATTATGCGATGTGGAAGGATTGTTTCCAAACACGTCACTAATGATTTTAACATCTCATTAAGTAGGGCATGAGATGAAAGTCATGACAGATCAAAATTTGCCCTCTTCAGTGTGGGCTGAATCAGCTCCTCTGGGGTAACCGTGTAAAGCAGGCTCTTGGGCCACTGGCGAGACAAATAGCTGCTCCCGGTGGTGCAACGACTAGAGAGTGATGAGGCTTTTCTCCAAAAGTGAATGGATCCTCGCTCTAACTGTGTCCCAGATCTAAATGGCCACCCACAGGTGAGGTCTCTAATCCTTTAGCAAAGACCCCCCCCCTTTCCATCCCAAGGGAGGAGATCCACTTCCACATTAATCATTTCTGTGACTCAAATAGCTCTCACAAATACACGATTATCACAACACCAAGTCAGCAGTTTGCATGGAAGACATAGGCAGGGGAACAGAATGATTTGCCCTGTTTCTGTTTACAACAAAGCACTGGAGCATAGGGCAGAGCTAATAGATGCTGCTGAAAATAAAATGAAATGGCATTTTTCCAGTTTCTGCCCAGTCTGCTTGTCTGAGATGGTCCCACATGACTGTTTTTTCAGAAGGCATGGGGTGGCCAGCAGGAGGAAGATTGGTACTTTTCTTTTTGTGCAGGCAGCAGCTTTAGACATTAAAGCGTCCCTGCTATACAAAAGCGTGGCGCCTGGTCTGTGTGAAGAGCAGATGCTCCTAATCTAATCTGCAGATTTAAACCTGTGTCAAATAGTTTTACAATACTTTACATTTAAAATGCATTTTAAAATATATCATAAAATATTAAATTTATAATTTATATATTTTATACATTCCTGTCATATTTTTGATAAATAAAGAAATAAGAGGATAATAAATGTCACCACCTTCCTGTCTATTAAATATCAAAGAGGATTTCAAATATGAAAAATTCAAACAGGTCCCCATTCTGTGCCTTCATAAAAAGTAATAAAGCTATGATACACCAGTGCATAAAGCAACTTTAGAAATATGTACAGCTATGGCACCCTACTTACATACAAATAACTGACATATTTTAACCAATCAGAATCATTTCAGCTTCAGTCCTACTAATATGCTTTGCTTAGTGACAATTTTCCTAAAGAACTGTGAGTAAAGAGGTGTTGATAGAATTGTGCTTTAACCTATAGGCAGTCACTTCTGTACAGAGAGACACCTGATCATCTGTTTTGCCTTTGGAGATGGGAATATAACACGAACAACCTATGTTTGGTTCCTTTTCCTGGTTACTGCCACAGAGCCCGAGTCATCCAGCATGGTGGGCCTGTTGCCCAGTAGGTATGCTCATGGCATGTGAATCAAGCAGTAGAGCAGAATTGGACATTCCAGCTGACTGGCTGAGAAATGGTAAAGCACGTTTGAGCATGTGGGCTTGCTGTTGTCCTTTAGGGCACGGATATTTGGATGAAATAGCATCAATTAGTGGGATTTCCACTGACGTGTCTGCTTATTTGCCATTTGGGCATGATTGAACAAAGATGTTCACCCAAGGGAAAGCACTTTTCCACAAGAGTCATGTAAAAAAAAAAAAAGCTCCGTATTGTCCACTAGCAGTGCATAGTGTCAGTTTGGTTTCATGAAGCCAAAAACCTTCAGTTGAGAAGAAAATTGAAGTTTCAGCTACACTAGTCTAATATCTGATATTTACACCACAAAGAAAATGTCAGTAGTCTGTTTGAATATATATATTTAGAAAAGAGCAACATTGAAAATTGCATAAGGATATATAAAATAACCTGCACCCTGTGCATGTTGGGCCAATGGCACCTGTAAGTACTGTAATTAAGATTATTTTTCGCCAACCCTAATAACGGCTAAAGAGCCATAAATATCTGACACCTTGTAACCCATGCATTTAAGTCACAAGTTAAATAGATGGATTCATGCTTCACACGACCCTTGATTACAAAAACGCCAATAATTCAACGTCAACATTTTCTTTAACAGGACTCATATTCTATTACACAACTATGTTAATAAATTTTGCACTATAGCACTTTTTTCCCCACTCCCTTAGGAAGATGTAAGTAATTCTATTCTGAAATGAAACAACATAAACTCCTGATATTTAAATTAAATGCGACTGTTACGCTTTATTCTACTGTACGCAATGATTCACGCATCAGGACGACAGCTTGAGGTTTACATCAAAGTTCTGTCTTTGCACAGCAAACATCACACTGCAAAACACGATGATAATTTGCTACTTAAATCCAGAACTTACCCAGCACACCCACTCTATATTAACTAATATTAATGGGAAAAAGCCACAACAGTGAAAGAAAAGTATGAAAATAAGTAAAATGACTTAATCGCACTTAATCTGCAAAAGAAGTTCAACTTAATCAAAAATAATCCATTTCATTAACGCAACAGGAAGGAAATGACATAGGACCTCCAGGACGAGTTAGTAGATTAATTATTGTATTTAATGATTTTCAGCATTTGGGATTACAGTGTGATTAACATTTTTGTGTATCCATCATCAGTACAGCTGTTTAGGAACTAAGCACTGCTTACCTCCCAACCCGGGACGGAGCCTGTTGTCATATCCATCCAACAGCCTGTCTAAGATTCGGGTGAAAATGGTGATGTTGTCTTTACTGTCATCAGGCAACGGCTCTCTGTGTCCAACTACTGCCCTGCAGGGAAAAACAAGGAAAAGAAAGTGGAGTTCAAGAATAACAAAAGCTGTCAGATTTAGCAAAACCACTGATATGCTGACACTGCGTACAACAGTGTGAAAGCCTGCTGTTTGTTAGTATCTCCCACTGTCTCGACTGGGTGGACTCTCCGTTTTTAGAAAAAGAATACATTTATAGTAATGAGTTGTTTCCCAAAAAGAAAACACTCAGCAGCATTTTGTTAGAGAATTCATCATATGCTATCAACCATTAGTTATTAATTTACACGACCCACAATCCCCAACATAACAATACTGTAGTGAAATGAAAAGGCCACTATATGTGGAACAGTGATGAGTTAATGAGTACCATCTTTAATTAAGTTAAAATCCCCTGGGAGCTGACCTATAATATAAAAGTAATCCTCATCAACCACCCCTCCATGCCCACATGCACTCTTCCACATGCAGCCCTTCACACTTCTGTAAGGAAGGAAACGAATCGTGTATATTCCGTGAAAGATCCTCAAAGGAAATCCCAGAAAACTGGGAAACTGTGTTTTCTCTTGACTTTCTGTAGCTTAATGCCTGCTAAAATAACAAGTCAATATAAAGAGTCCACTGGAGCTACAGCATTATCCATTAAAACACTTACTGGGTGAAGGTCACCTCTTTAAATGTATGCAATTGTAATTATTATCAGCTCGGGGAGTTAAAGATCTTAAAAATGGCATTCCTACACAAAACGCATCATAATTTTGAGGCATCTGGGCAAAGTACTTCAGTTCAGCTAAGTGGCCATTATGAGGGCATGTGTGGGCAATAAAAAATATCAATTAAGCATCAGGGTTCCTTCGTGTTCTAGCGATTATTCCCTCCATAATGTAGTGGCACTCATGTTGTACAATACACCAAGCATAAATGCTTTTAAAGCTTTACAAAATATGATAAAGTGCTGTTTTTATATTAGGCAGGTTGAAATGTGTAAACTCTGCCAGTTATACTTTATTCGGTGTTAAATTAAACATTAAAACCCTCTGGTTTATATAAAGGATACTGTGCTATCAATATTACAGGGAACTTTGTATTTATATTGATTATAAAGGTAATGTAATGCGGCACAGTTAGCACTTCTTTTACAATGTGTTTTTTATTGCTTTTAACTTTCTTTTATGTTCTGCATTAGTAGAGAAACATTGACTGTTTACTAATCGATTTCCTAACATGTACTGGGGGTTGCGTTAAATTGTTGGCGCCTCACAGGGAAAGCATTTGGGTTAGGTGACTTTTACTGTGAAAAGCTAATGAAGCAAGATGGTTATTGCATAAAATGCAATTGACTCTTTGAAACATTGTTTGTTGGACTTCACAGTAAACAGAAACAAGTTGCTCTTGTGTGTTTTAAGTATTTACCTCATCTGAAAGCTGCTCATTTTGAAATAAGAACACTGGGGGCCTTCTACCAGTACATAACTCTCACACAACACTACTGAGAAAAGTACCTGCAGCACTCAGTGATTTGTGTCTTTAATAACATAGCATTCAACATGTGCTGTAAAATCTTCCACTGAGGTCTCGTACCATGTCTACAGTTAGGTCCATACTTTGTTTTCTGTTATTTTGAACATCACCAAATGCTGTGTTTCCTCCCTCGAGGCCTTTACTGCAGCTGCCTTCAGTTGCTGCTTGTTTGTGCTTCTTTCGGCCTCCAGTTTTGTATTTAACAGCAGAAAAGCAAGCTCTTTATTGGACTGAGATCAGGTAACTGACTTGGCCACTGAAGAATTTCTCATTTCTCTGCCTTGAGAAACTCTAGGGTTGTTTTTGCAGATTGCTTTGGGTCAGTATCCATTTACAATGTGAAGCCCTGTCAGTTTTACAGCTTCTGGTTGAAAAGTTCATCTTGGTTTTATCTGTCCAATGAGTTTATTTTTTTCAGAACTTTGAAATGTCTTGTTCGAGAGCTGTTTGAAACCAGTGGTTTCACTTGGGCAGCAAACAGCTTACAGCCAATTGTCCGACTGGTTTTGAGCCTGAGGCTCAAGTAAAAATGGCTCCAATTACTAAACAGTGACTAATTTGTTGTAAACCCTTAAATTAAAGCTGTAAAGTATGCCCTTCAATCACATCTTGGTTGTTTGATTTAAAATTCACTGAGGTTGTGTACAAAAGTTGTGCACCTGGGACTAACTGTATGACCACGACAGGTTCACAGGTTTGGCTGTACCCCCGAGTATTAACAGCACATGCTCAGAAAGTCCCAAGAAAGTCGGAAACTTTCAGAGGGTTCATATCACTTCCCCGGGTGAAAACCTTCCTCAATTATGAAACTTGTGCTGAAATGCTGCTGGTAATTTTAGCATTCAGGGTGGCAGCAGAGGGACGAGTTGAGACTTCACAATAAAATCAAATAGGGCCCAAAAAAGTTGTCTACCCAGAGGAAAAATGTAAAATGGAAGAAATTGCCTCTGCAGCAATCTCCCTTGATAGACTTGATGATGCCAAGCAGGCGCAAGTACACCGAGTTCACTAAGTGCACGTTTTGTTTGAACAACGACAGTGGTGTTTTTGTGCATATCTGCTGTAACTGCACAAGATTTTAAAAAATCATTAATCTTCTTCTCGTTTTGTTGACATGACACAACTGGAATTTCTGTTCGTCTTTCCTTTTCATGCCCTCATAAATGGACACTCTTTTCTATGCTGTATATTAGTTATTGTAACAAAATTGACTCTTCTAGTATGACTCATCATTTTACCATTAAAAAAATATTTAAAAAAAAGACAAAATCTGATTACAATGGATTTCTTTTTACAACCGCGTCCATCAAAATGACAGAATCAAAACCTAATGCCACCTCTGCACCAAGGTGAACATGGAAAATAATAAAGAATGCAACTTCCACAACCGAGGGCAAGTGATAAGACAGATGATGTCAGATGTTTGAGGCTTCGTAACTTGTAAGTGCACTCCACTGAGACCGAGCCTTTTAACTCCAAGCTCACGACTTGAACCCCATCGAGCAGGGCATGTTTTGATATATTCCAACTGTCAAATAAGCACCTACCTCTATAATTATGCTCTGGCAAAAAAATATATTAAAATAGGACAGCATAACAGTGTACTCATAAATATTTGAATGAAGTAATACTGGATAATTCTGGATTTTCCATTCACGCAACTTATCAAAAATGGACAGGCATGTGTGTTTGAAGTAGCTCAGACACACCGAAAACACCAAAATACAAAAAAAGCTTTTAGAAATGGCTGGGAAGAGTTTAACTGCAATAGGTGATATCTCACTTAACATGAATCATATATCAAACAAAAAGCCTCTGTGGCCTCTCAGACGGCACCGATGGAAATTCAAAAATTAATGAGAACCCCTTAGTCGCTAAGAAACCGTTCGAGCAACATCTGCTGCACAAATATCCACTTCAGAAAAAAAAAAAGCAAATGTGTGGCGTGTAGCATCTGCATGTTTAACTGAAACACACACGCTTTCTGTGACACACACACAAAAACACACACTCTTGTAACCTCTTCCAGTAGGCGCCAGCTGTTTAAATTCACTGATGAGGACTAAAGAAATGGGACATTCCCTCTGTATTTGACATCATTTTTATTGAAACACAGAGGTTTTATAATCGTGCCAGCTGCTGTGTTTCACTCCCTCAACCCCCTTCATTATTCACACCATCTCAACACAAACGCATGAATCCAATTTTAAAAGAAGCACAAAGAACCAAACAGCCATTATATCTGCACATGACAGGATGTTTGAATTTCGGGGGGGGGGGAAGAGTTGCAATAGGAGCAAAAAGACCCCCGAAAAAAACAATTACTGCTGTATGTCTTAGTTTCGTGTCAACGCCAAATTTGACAAATACTTTCTTTTATTAAACATTGATATTAGTCATAGGCTCAGCATATAAATACTGTTAATTATTAATGACTTCCAGGATGTCTGATCGCATTATTCTGTGTAGCTACTCTAAAGTTGGACTTTGATGGTTAAAAGTGAATTATGAATATTTGAACATGAGATGAGTGATATTTACCGATGCTGTGTGAAGACAGCCCGGAAAACTATCAGTAAAAGGCCCCAATTCATCATCAGATCAGTTTGCAACAGAATTGTGAGAATTAATTCATTTTCATTAGTGGCTGCAGGAAGACATGGAAAGATTAGTTGGACCTATTTGGAGGGAAATAACTCGTACTTTTTAATTCTTATTGACCATTTTCATATCAAATGAGTGACTAACACAGACTAACACGAGCCACTTGTGACATTGAACACAAGTGGCTCGTGTTTTATTTACTGAGGCAGTGACTGTAAATGAAACCAATATGACCGCTCTAAAAAAGGTGCAGTGCGCTAGCGCACGGAGCTTCGGCTTGTATTCTTCTCCAGCCTGAGCAGGTTTAATAATAAGGATAAGTGGAAACAGCTGTGTGGGTGTGCAGGACCTTTAAGCTAACAATGGGCCTTTTTCACAGTGGGTACTTGACTTGTATCTAGGAAGAGCACAGGTGTTACAACTAACTTTAACAATGGCTCTGTTATATCGTGCTGCAGAAAACGGCATGGCAGCAGCAGGAGCCTGAAACAGGAGCAGATAAATGGTATTCAATTCAAAAGGATAACAAACGTCTGCGCTTTGTGGTTCTTTGTTCAATTTGCAAAATTATCCATATGAAAAATGCATTTGAAATTCTCGTTATCCATTTTATTTTCCTGGTTGCTTCACTTCATTTGTAACATCGCCACCTGGTTCTTTGCTTTGTTTTGTCTGTGGGAGTGGACTGTACCAGTTTCCGGGGGTGTCTAAACCCACTAACTTGACGAAAATATGACGTAATATGTGCATTTGAACACATGTTAATTTATCAGCAACACTAAGGCATTAAATGTTAACTCGTGGACTGGATCCAAAGGCCAGTGAAGTATTGTTGATGAGAGGACACAGAGTAACCTTCAAAGCGCCCACCTTGAGCATGTCCTCTCTTTCCAC